GTTTGTTTTTCTTTTTTCGGAGTCCCATACTTTGTATACAAATACACCCCTTGGCTTGTTAGTCTTCAGCATAAAGTAATTTCTATTCTTTATTGTGTGTCTGCAGGTGGCTCTTGTAGGTCAAGAGCCTGTGCTGTTTGCCCGCACAGTTGAAGAGAACATTACCTATGGCCTGACTGATGTCCCCAGGGAGGCAGTGCTGCAGGCAGCCACCAAGGCTAATGCTCATGATTTTATTACCACTCTCCCTAAAGGCTATGAAACAAGTAATCATTAAATCTGTTCATTTGTAAATCAGCTTTTTATGTGCTCTATGTGTAATGGACATGCTTGTTAAGCTGGGACCTCAAGAGAAAAAGTCACATTTAACATCGGTCCCTGGCAGATTTGTTTTACTATACAGAGCTTTACTGCACATTGCAAAGCTGCTTGCAGAGGCATCAGAAACTATAGGTTGGCTGATACAGCTTAAGTAGCATGCACCATTTGAGATCTGCCAATAGGATGTGTGGAAAAGTAAGAAGTGACCATGAGATAGTATGGCTGACACTGAGATCAGCTGATTTACCAGGCTTGCCAGCTGAGCCTGACTCTAGGGTCTGCTTAAAACTAACACAGTGCTCAGATTTAAATGCACAAATATCACAGCCATACAAAAAAATAGAGCTATGTTCTTTAATAAAGAAATGGATATGTGTTTCATAAGATGAAATGATGTATTTGACTGACTTTCACCTTACTGTTTTCTTGAGGTGTTGGCGAGAAGGGCACACAGTTGTCAGGGGGACAGAAACAAAGAGTTGCCATTGCAAGAGCTCTCATCCGCAACCCTCGTGTTCTTGTCCTGGATGAGGCCACTAGCGCTCTGGATGCAGAAAGTGAACACATTGTAAGTGTTATCAAAGCCAGAGGAGAGCTTCAGTACAGCAGCTGTTACCAAGCAGACATGCAGCATATTTGCATTATGGAATAATATAGAGGTGTTGATGTATCTGCTGAATTCACTACAGGTTCAACAGGCTCTGAACAATGTCCTGCGGGACCACACCGTGTTGGTGATCGCCCATCGGCTCAGCACAGTGGAGAAGGCAGACAACATTCTTGTAATTGACAGGGGCCACGTGGCAGAACAGGGATCTCACAGTGAGCTGATGGCCAGCGGCGGACTCTACTCTAAGCTGGTTCAGAGGCAGGTCCTGGGCATCGAGACTGGGGAGGAGGACCTACACTCGCCACAAAACGCCAGCTGGAAGTCAGGTGGAGGACAGCAGTGGAGAGGACGAAGCAGCAGCAGCAGCCTGAGCGAGTCTGAGTGTAGTGTGCGTTACTGAGAACGACCTGCAGTGTGTAGATGTGACACTGGACTGTAATTAAGTTAAAAATACTTAAATCTGCATTTGGGTTTGTAATCTGTTGGACAAAGACACAAGTTTTGTAGTGTTTCACCTGCACACTACCACAGTGGATTTTAAATTCATCAATATGAGACTGATATGCAGACTTTTAGCTTTAATTCAGGGGGTTTCATTGGCAAAACTTTGCCATTAACAGATTAGCTGTTGCATTATGGGCATTGTTTTAATGCAATTGTTTTTAAAAGAAAGAAAGAATTCTGTCATCATGCACTTTAATTGTTTTGCTGTCTCTCTGATAGGTTAGTTCAGGTTTTGCAGCCTAATGATGGCCTCCCTCACTTGCACTGACCTCTCTTTGGGTTCATATTTAAAATTACAGTGAAAAGCTATAAAATACACATTCAACACTTTATATCAATTTCAGATATTACATTGGTAATGAAATAGCAAGGGAACGGGCCTCAGCTGGCCATGAAAGTGCTTGTACAGCTACAGGGACAAAAAACGACAAAAATTGTATGTCTCCAACAAATTATTGAGCTATCTGTTTC